TTTTACCAACGAATAGTAGGATTGACCGTCACGTTATAACGCCACCATGGCTGAAAGAGCGAGCATGTTTGGTGGGACGGGAATTCGAACCCGCGACTCTCAGATTGCGAGTCAAACGCCCCACTAAAATGAAAATGGATACTCAATTCTTTGAGTCGTATAATTTGATTGGCTGACACTGACACCCATAGCTGAAAGTGCGAAGTTTTCAGCGCTATCACATCTCAGACCCTGAACTCTCTAGTTCTCAGCCCGATACATTAACTATGAGGTCATGTCCCACTAAGTATCATAGAAAAATCAAACAATTATTTTTTTCTTCACCTTGTATACAAATATCTCAATACCAAAAAGCAGTATTTCTATATTTCAAATTCATTGAGTACCAAATTAAAGTCTTGAGAAATAACCAGAGATGTTCTAAAACGCGGGTTAGAAACTTACAAGGCCAAAATGTGTGGTTCGATTCCCCACCGTGGACACAGCAGATAGCCCAAGACGGCTTTAAAACAAACAAATCTAAGACTTGAGTTTCGATATCTGATGGAGCCTCAAGTTTAGGATATAAAGTCTTTCTCTCTATCAACCACTTTTAAAACACCTAGAATGGTCAGCGGTAAGTTTACGAACTTACAATGCTAAAAGTACAGTGGTCGATTCTCCGCTGTGGACAAAAGCGCGGGTATTCTATTATGTAGCTTTGCACTAAGAAAACAACCACAGCATTTTTCATCTTGAACTTACCTTCAATAATACTTCTTATCAGCGACTTGGCTTCAGTATAAGTAGTTAAACTTCCATTTGGTATTTAATATATTACATATTTTCTTTTCTCGTCTATTATTTAATTTACCTTAATGATTTTAATTGTTGTAAACTTTATTTTTATATTTCTATTAACGCTTCTCTTTTCTTTTTCAAGCATAAAAAAATCATATTTTCCAGTCGACTTTCAGTTCAAGTGCCTCAAATATTTTATTTCTTATTGTTACTATCTTATATCCACCATCACCCACTCCTCCAGTGACTTAGCAACAAGTCTGGTGACTTATAGTGCTGAAAACCTGGTTTCGATATTCGTGATGGGCACAGCACTATAGTGTAGCTTTGCGCCTATCAACAGACAAACAAGAACTACCTTGTATATCGTAACGTTTCTGTAAGTTCATATTTTCTTCGAATATTCATTATAACTGACAATTTAACCGAAATTAAAAAGAGAAAACAAATATTGAAAATAATATGGGATAGTTTTAAAACTCGTTATTTCAATATAGCCCCCCCCCCCCCACGTGGCACAGTATGTCTGCGGACTTACAACGCTAGAAACCGGGTTTTGGGTAGAGTACAGATAGCCCATTGTGTAGCTTTGTGCTTAATTACAAACAAACAATTTCAATATATTGGTTGCTTTTGTATCAGTAATTAAATGTCCCCTGGTGGGAGACAGCGGTAAGTTTACGAATTTACAACGCTAAAATCCGGGGTTCGATTCCCCGTGGTGGATACAGCAGATAGCCCAATGTGACTAGTAATTAAAATATGTGTTGTCTTTTGAAAAACTCTATTGACTGATAACGCTATGGAAGTATTAGAGGGCCCTTGAGATTTGTCAGTAATATAAGATTTGTTTGCTTAAATCTAGATGTATGAACGTCGCCCGTGTATCATAGTTTCTTTGGCAATAATCAGACTTGTTCTCGCCACTATAAACTGTAAAACGATATGTTTTCATTGTTTAATATGCAAGACTGGTGATGTATATATATAGGAATAGTGGTCTTTTAGACTGTGGGATTGCTCAGGTTATGTAGAAGTTAAGGTCTTATCCTATGTGCGTCACAGGTATTTCTTAGCTAGTGTTATTTTTGTCCCAGTGCTCCCGAGAAGTTGGGGGTATTCGGTCGATTTCTCTGTAGCTGCAGAGGACAGGACAAGGCGCCACATGGTCGGCTTCGCTGTAAAACATGACGTCGAAACTGGCGTAGTGTTATCTCTAAGTTTTGTGTCGTTTTGCTTCGATTCCACGGCTTAAGGCAAAGGAACCGCAGGGCAACATTACTCTCCAGACCACGGTAAGAACTTTAGAAATAATTATCATGTCTTGTTTTCTTTAAACTTGATATAAATTTACAAGTTCAAATTCAATATTCAAGTATAAAAGAAACATTTCGGCAGGTTGTGAAATTCACGAGAAGGAAAAAAAATAGAAAATCGAAGAAGCAAGCTAGAAAGAGATTTTAAAAACATAAATAGGCTTTTCGGTAGAAAAAAAACTATAAAAAATTGACAAAAGAGATTGGAGATATAACTATTGTCAGTATACACGTAATAACGATACGGATACAATGCAGGTTAACACCTAAAATGTTGCAAAAGAGGGCGTTTTCCGAAACGTCCCGAGGGCACACCGTTTCTTCCTTCGCGATTTAAACCCCGGACAATTTTCTTGTATCAAATCAAAAGTAAACCCCCGTTTGTGTATAACGTTAGTGAAAAGAGAAAATAAAACTTCTTATTAATATTATTGTAAAATAATTTTTTATCTTGTACAAGGCTGACGACGTTTTAGGTATTAGTTACAACAGTATCGAAAGATGACGTAAATATTCCGTCATTATTGTTGTTTTGGACTATAAGCCACCAGACTCACCACTATAACACCCTAGTGGGGCATTGTGCAGGAGTTTGTTTGTTTGAAGTAAAGCACAAATCTACACAATTTTACAGTAGTAATTGAAATGCTTATTACAGTGTGTCGTGCAACCAGCAAAAGACTGCACCGGATGATACTCGAACGAGAGTCCCTCAGCATGAAAATGTCAGCCATATTGTACATATCGTGTAAATAAAACTTTTGTTAAGTCTTAAATAAATATTAGGCTATTTTACTGTGCATGCGATTGGTTTGATTTAAATACTGATCGGAATATTTACGCCCTCCAGTGGCACAAAGGTATGTCTTCGGAGTTACAACACTAGAAACCGGGTTTCGATACCCGTGGTGGGCAGAGCACAGATAGCCCATTCTGTAGCTTTGTGCTTAAATTGCACTTGTGGTAAGGTTTATGTTGGTGAAAGGAAACGAAAATTATAAATAAAGTTAAAAGAATATAGTCACCCGCTAACATCCGGGGTTCGATTCCCCTTGGTGGACACAGCAGATAGCTATAAAACAAAATAAAAAATAGAGCTACGTAATGGGCTATCTGTGTTGTGCTCATCGCGAGTATCGAAACGCGATTGTTAGCACGAATTTTATATATGCTGTATTTTTAACAGCCCCGATAAAACTAATTGCCTCATGGTTTTTATCAATAGATATTTTATTGTGCTTATAAATGTCATTTGTTTCGAACTTTAGAGACAAATGGCAAAATGCGCGTTAAAATAAAGTATGGAATTTCAGTGTTTCGATATCAACGAAATTTGCTTTTTAACGCTTTTTCTTTTAAAGACAAGTTTAACAGTTTTTACTCATGTGCCAACAAAACAGTTTAGAAAGATATAACTGAAATAAACTAAGTTCTAATACACCATAGACAACAGCAATAGTAATCGTTTGAGCCTGACGTGGCCTAATGGTTAGAGTGCACACTGCGGATCTAGAAGGTCCAAGGCTCGACCCACGATATATTGCTGAGTAATCACATAGATCGCGGGTGCTACTGACTGGTTGAACTCCCTCTACTCAGCTTCCAAATTAGGAATGCTGTGCTTGAGCCTTGGAAGTTTCTGAGTGAAGTTTCTGACCTCCTGGCCTCAGAAGTCTCTGATGGCCGTTTAGCCACGTGCTACTTACTTACTGGAACTGATTGACCTCCGTCAAATCAGCTTCCAAATTAGGAATGCTGTGCTTAAGCCTCAGAAGTCTCTGACCTGGCCGTTTAGCCCATGTGTTTGCATAAGGTACTATTCAGGTTTAAAATAACAGCACTGTATAAAATCAAAAGTTACGTATTACTTTATTAAGCAAGGTAGGCCCGGCATGGCCAGGTGGTTAGGGCACTCGACTCGCAATCTGAGAGTCGCTGGTTCGAATCCCCGTCCCACCAAACATGCTCGCCCTTTCAGCCGTGGGGGCGTTATAATGTTACGGTCAATCCCACTATTCGTTGGTAAAACAGTAGCCCAAGAGTTGGCGGTGGGTGTTGATGACTAACTGCCCTCCCTCTAGTCTTACACTGCTAAATTAGGGACGGCTAGCGCAGATAGCCCTCGTGTAGCTTTGCGCGAAATTCAAATCAAACAAACTTTATTAAGCAAGGAAATAAATTCTAAGCAAAAGAACATTTCCAACAACAACAGGACAAATGAAAAATGTCTTAGAAAGTGAAGTCCCATAATGCTGAGAAAATACCATGCAGGATATACAAATTTTTCAACTCTCATTTTGTTGTGTCCAGTTATTTAGTTACGCCCACCAGTGGCACAACGGTATGTCTGCGGACTTACAACGCTAGAAATCGGGTTTCGATACCCGTGGTGGGCAGAGCACAGATAGCCCTTGTGTAGCTTTGTGCATAATTAAAAAAAACAAAAATATTTAGTTACATGTAATTTCACTGAAGTGCTTCAATGTTACTTATATATACAATGTACCTATTTATTTAGAAAGAAAAAAAAAGTAATTCGAGTGGCTCCATCTATTATGAACAAGAAATAAACCTAATTGTAATTTGTAAAGACAAGAATAGAAAACAAAGAATATTATAATTTCGTAAAATGCTTCAACTATATTTTTTTTAAATAAAAAACATCCAAATGGATTATACTTTATTCAGTATTTGCAAACTAAATTTAAAGTTGCATTAGTTTTCAAAAGATGCATGACAGACTTCTATGTTGTTTTGAACAAAGAAGGTCACCAGTGTAATATTTATTCGTTAAAAAATGAGGAAACAAATTTATTTCTTGTTTACAAATTTTCAAATAGTATTTTGTATAGTACGTTCTACACCAAATGTTTAATGAATACAAATAGTACTTATAATTCCTAACAAATGTTACTTTAGCTATTACAGCTTAAGACAGCTTCATAATAACGTGGAGAAAAATAATAATTATTTTGTTTGGTGGCCAAATATTTTATCTAGCATAGTAATTTGGAGCCCCAAAGGCCCAAGTTTGGGGCAAGTGGATGTAAAATGGCCATCTTCGACGTACAAGTTGGTTGTAAGCTCGTAATGTCAGATGTGTGATATAAAAACGTGAAGATAAAATGGGTGGTAAACGATCAAACAGATTCGTGGAGACTGTTTTCGTCACAAGTTCAGGGTTTGAGTCTTCTCCACTGTCAGCTGTTGAGTTGGTATTGTCTAAAGTTTGAAGTCGGTTTTTCTCGTCCTCTAAACGCTGTTCTACTCCTGTATTAGGTGCTGTTACTGTGTCGTTTAGCTTGTCGTTGCTATTTTCTGAAACTAGTTCAAATTTCGTCATGATTGTTTTTGCTTCGAGCAAGGATTCTGTCGTCATAGGAAGTGAAGTGTGAGCTTCAGGGTCGACGGAAACCTGATCGAAGTCTTTTGATGTATTTTCTACATCAAGCAGATCGCCATCAATTGTGTTACTCTGGGGTTCATTAGGATTGTAACCACCTGTTACCCTGTAACCTGCTGGCCCTGCCTCGTACTCTACCACCTTTAACTTTCCTTCAGGTCCGGTGTACCCGTATCGTCCTCGAACAATTCCGTTGTCGTCTCTATGTTCGTGATGGAAAGAGTGGGCACCCAACAAACCCGTGTCGTAACCGAAATTGTACGTGTTTTGATCGGTTTTTGACTGGTACTGGATCGGATGGTGTACATAATCCACGGCCATCGCTTGAACAACTAGGCCTAACAACAGAAGCTTCGTAAACATCTAGAAAACAGAGAGAGAAAAACATATTTGATAAACAAGAAAATTTACCTTTAAATAGAATTTTTTGAAGGTTTGTTTCTTTAGAATGTTTGCACAAAATTACAAAAGGATTACTTGCTCATAACCTTCCTCAATTTTAAAGTGATAGACTAGACGCAAGTCGACTAGTTAACAAAACCCACCGCCAACTCTTGAGCTATTTCTTATCGGAACAAATAGTGATATTTGACCGTCACTTTTATGACCTGTGGCGCAAAGGCTGACATCTGTGATGGTAGACCACTCTGTTAACATAAATCCTTTTTCTCCCTCTCTATCTATCTAGATACAATATCCAAACAGGACGTTGGTGACCATGGTTTGGTTTGTTTTGAATTTCGCGCAAAGCTGCACGAATTCTATCTGCACTAGTCGTCCCTAATTTAGAAATGATCGACTAGAAGGGAAGGCAGCGAGTCAACACCGTCCACCGCCAACTCGTGAGCTACTCTTTTACCACCAAATAGTGGGATTGACCATCACATTGTAACGCCTCCACGGCAGTACCTGGTTGGGCAGCTATTCATCATTATGGAAAAAATGCTTTTCATATCCTCCAGGGAAACGTCAATGGCGCCTCCTATAGGCATCACATGGAGACGATATTTCTTCCATATGCTATGGTAAGGATTAGCAATAACTTTGTGTTCCAGGATAACAATGCCACTGCCCACAGTGTGCGTATTGTACAGGAGGACGTTACATTATTGTCATGGCCAGCAAAGTCTCCAGATTGTAATCCCATTGAGAACTGTTGGGCAGAACTGGGTTGGAAAATTACTAACCACGACTCTGAACCAGCTACTGTCTAATGACAAGTTGGGATAAAATCACGTTGTTTACGTTAATAACCTCATCGACAGCATGCCATGTCGCCTTGTGGAGATTACTAAAATATGTCTAATATGCCCTGATATAAGGTCATTATCTATGTTTTGGTAAGGTTTGTTGTGAAAGGTGAAATGTTTATATATATACATCTTTCTACGGGTATCTGATATAATTGTTTGCTGTTCTAATAAATCGTTCATGATGTCCATAGTACCTGTCTCATTATACAAATTACACATGTAGATGTTTAATATAACACGCATTTCTCAGTTTGACAACGCTTAGTGTATTTGTATTAATCCTGATAATAATGACCTTATTTTTTGTAAAATATACAAATATTTTAGCCAACACTGTATATAGATATATATTCTGGTCATCAAAAATATTATAACACCTATAATATACTGCTCACCAGAAATATTGTAGCACCTATAATATACTGCTCACCAGAAATATTGTAACACTATAATATACTGCTCACCAGAACTATTGTAGCACCTATAATATACTGCTCATCAGAAATATTGTAACACTATAATATACTGCTAAATAGAAATATTGTAACACCTATGTGAACTATGCACTAGAAATATTATAACACCTTTACTGAAAGAAACCTACCATGTTCAGGTCTTTTATTGTCTTCTTCATTACCTTGTTGTATTGAGCAAACCAATCTACGAATTTGTTTTACCAGAAAATGAGTTGAACATACAATATACGTCATGTTGGTGTCTTGCGTGGAGCTCGAGGCTATAACTGACCTTCAATCCACCATCAAACAACCCCAGATCTTATTGGCCTCTTAAAACTAGATATACATATATATAAAGCCAATTAAATGTTGTTTGTCTTTTTCAAATGCCTTGTGAAGAATAAGATCGTTAGAGCAGATATACATGTGATGTACGATCATGGGAAACAATGTCTGGTTTAAAACTAAGCGTTGTGAAAAGAACTTGTCCTCAGTTTTCCATTGTTAGTGGATTATTCGGCTACTCAAAAACTAAAGTTGTTCGTATTTTTAAACGAGATTGTTTTATAATGCATCAAAATGAGTTGTTTATTGAATAAAAATCACGATTTTTACACTATACTGACCCTGCCCTTATTACATCATTATATCACCATACAAGATATCAACGTGCAGGAAACTCGAATTTAAACACAGACATTTCAAATGTGGTTGTATAAGTTAAAAAGTGACTTACTAGCAAGTGCTAGTGGGTCAACTCTTTATCTCAGTTGCTAGAGAACTCGCCTGGTGCGCGACAGGCCTCCGATTCGAATTTGAGCCGAGAAAATTAAAAACAAAAGATCACACAAAGAACACGACGAAAGGCTGATATTATACCCGTTTGAAGAAATCGTAACACCGATGTTTACATAATCATACGAATGAAAAAAAAAACTGTTTCATTTTAAACAAAACTATTATCTAATCATAAAAAGGTTGTCACGTGTAATGTGATTAAGTGAAAAAGAGTCAATTTTTGAAAACGTTTCGTCATGCTGGTGACGGATAGAGTATTTTCTCATACAAAGAAAGCATGTTTAGCGCCTTATATTTGTTTTATATTAATATACCTAAAGTGGTGTTTACAATAAGTATATAACTCTTCAAAACGTACGAGTGGGACAACACCAAAGAGATATAGATCATCAGTTTCGGTTAGATCTACATTTATTTATGAATAAGAATCTCCTTCGACATTAAAAGACGTAATCCCAAACTGTGATTTATTCTATTTGTCATAAGCGAGACTATCCATCAGTATACAAGACTTCCAAGGGTGTAATTTTGGAACTTATGATATCCTGCAGTATTTGTTTGTTTGTTTGTTTGCTTTTTTG